GAGACATAGAGACAGAAAGCGAGAAATCACCTCCCAGGGGCGATGGTCACGCCGCAATCCCTTCTCCACCATTCTCCTCTCGGGATCTTGGGCACGCACACACACGTGCCTGGCGTAAGTTTTAAGCCACCGGGTCCGGAATGCGAACTGCAGTTGACTACGTGGGAGTCCAGCGACATAGCCATTACGCTAACTGCTGGTTCCCCATTACTGCTTTTTAATCTGGCAAGGATTCTATAACCACCTTGGACCCTCTGAAGTTCTTCTAATACATCCTGATTTTGCTTAAGTTTCCTAGAGTTGTTTTTAACATTCTAAAAAGAAAAAAAGACCCCAAAAAACACCTTTGCTTTGAATTTTGTATTTCTCTGTTCTCTTACTTAAAATGATTGAAAGGTAACTCTGTCCTTGTAACATTGGATCTCAAATGTAAGCCTGTGGGATCAGCAGATGGCATAATGGTTGCTCACTGGACTCACATGTAGTTAACTGTGTTTTGAGTCCTGAACTTGATGGCTTAAAATTCATGCTGGGCACGTGTGTGTGCATGCCCAAAATCCCAAGAGGTGAGCAGAGGAGAGGGAATTACGGTGTAGTCATCCTCCCAGGGGTTGATTTCTTCCTTTCTATCTCTCTGTCTCTCACTGTCTCTCTAGGTTGTATCTGCACCCTATGACAACACTTTCTCTTAAAAAAAAAAAAAAAAAAGAAAGGGCAGCTCAAATGTGAGCCTGCATCAGAATCACCTGGAGATGGCTGGATCCTGCCTCCTGAGTTTCTGGGGCAGGGCTTGCAACATTGCACTTCTAACCCTTCTCAGGCATTGCTGCTGCTGCTGCTGCTGCTGTTATTGCTGCTACTCTGTTAAACAAACTTTTGAGAAATATTGGCCTAAATATACTAGGGCTTCCTTGAAGCCTTTCAAAAAATCTAGCAAAATATTTAGCCTTAGACAATGATTCAGGGTCTTACTTGAGGTTGCCTTTGGTTGGTTGATTTCCCTTGCTATTGTTGCTTATGTACTATAGAAGAGAGACAATAAATTTGGAAAGCTTGTTATCTTATTTTTCTGGACCAATAATGATGGTAGAATCTCGAAGAAGTAGTTGACCAGAGCCTGGACATCACCTTTATTGATCTATAATAAAACTGTCATGTCTGAATTTTAAAAATCAAACACACACACACATATATATATATACACACACATACATATATTTAGGAAGATATTTTTGCTATAGGATACATGCCTCACTGGGGAGACAGAGAGAGACAGAAAGTGAGAAACCACTCTCCTAGTGCAGAGATGGCCACACTGCAACCCATTCTGCTCCATTTTCCTCAGGATTTTTGGGCACACAAGCCCAGCGTGAGTTTCAAGCTGCCTGGTCTGGGACTTGAATTGCAGTTGGCCATGTGGAGTCCAGTGCCTTAACCACCTGATACTTGCCAGCCCTGAGCTTATATATTCTTAATATTAATGATACATGATAAACTGTATAGAACTTATACTGTGTGCATGCACACACACACAAGTAAAACCAGGAAAATCTGAATATCATTGAGTTATATCAGTTTCAGTATCCTGGTTGTAATATGACATAATCATTTTACAAAATGTTAACCATTGAGGGAAACTGGGCTCTCTATGTAGCATTTGTTATAACTACATGTAAATATCTCAATAATCTGGGACCAGCAGTTAGCGTAATGGCTATGTTGCTGAACTCCCATGCAGCCGACTGCGGTTCGAGTCCCAGACCCGGTGGCTTAAACTCATGCCAGGCGCATGTGTGTGTGTGCCCAAGATCTCAAGAGGAGATTGGAGGAGAAGGGATTGAGGTGTGGCCATCCCCTCTGGGGGGTGATTTCTCACTTTCTGTCTCTCTGTCTCTCTCTGTCTTTCCGGCAAGTGCACGCACCCTATAGCAAAAACCTCTCCAAAAAAAAAAAAAAAAAATCGAAATAATCTTACAAATATATTGTCTTGGGGCCAGTGGTTGGCAGTGGTGTGGTGGTTAAAGGTGCTGGATTCCCACATGGTTGACTGCAGGTCAAGTCCTGAACCTGGTGATTTTTTCTTTCTCTTTCTCTCTAGTTCTGTCCCTCTCTGGTCAAATTAAAATAGATAAATACATAAATAAAGTTAAATTAAAAAGTTATTTAAAAAAAGAATTCCTAAAAAAAATACACACACACACACACACACACACAGTCTCAAGTATCTCAAAAATATTATCTCAATATAAATTCAATTTTAAAAACTTACCAATGATAATAATATAGCAAACTTGCATATTGGTAATATTTAGGTTTTAACTAAGAAAAAGATCACAAACGTCTCTGGTCATAAAATAAATAAATGTACTAATTAATCTTAATTTTGTACTTCCAGTTGCTTTCAAAATTTAATGTTTAGGGGAAAATTAAAAGAAGGCTAGATCCTGGGGCCAGCAGGTTGCATGGTGGTTAAGGTGTTGGACTCCCATGTGGTCGACTGCAGTTTGAGTCCCAGACTTGGTGGCTTGCTTTCTCACTTTTACTTTCTGTCTACAGTCAAATTTAAAAAGATAATAAAATAAATAATTCTGAAAAAAGATAAAAAGGCTAGATCCTAGATGTAGAAAAACCCTTAAAAGCTAATCTAATATGGCCACTGGTTCAGAGGTACCAGTTCAGGTGAAGAAATATGCTCTGTATGCTTGTGTGCCCAGGATCCCAGGAGGAGAATGGAGAAGGGGTTGCAGCATGGCCGTCCTTTCTGGTAGGTGATTTCTTACTTTCCCTCGTGCTGTCTCTGTTTCTCTCTTTCTCATAAGCACATGTGCCCTAAGGCAAAATCTCTAAAAAAAAAAAAAAAATGCTCTCAAAAAGCATTTGTTATAGGTGTCCAGTCCCACTGGACTGCACAATCTCCCAAATAGATTTCTTCAGAGTATAGCAACTAGTAGGTTTTGGAGCAGTCTATCAACCCATTTTACGTGCACTAACGAGAACCTCTGCTTACTAAGGGCTTGTGGCATTAGGCTGCTAAATGCACAACCATAATTTGAACCTAATTTTCAGGGAGAGACATTATTACCCCATTTTATTGATCAGCAAAGTAAGGCCTAGAGATTTTCATTAACTTGCTCTGGCACCAGCTGGTGATGTGGTCAAGCCAGGGCAGTGTGTGGTCCTCTGTGGTTCATGGCTGCCCCTCTCTTCAGCATACCTACTATTGTTAAAAGGGGCCATTACCATCCTTGCTCATGAACGAACACACATGGGATATTGCCAATGTTAAGTGCTTGATCATTTTCTCCAGTGTAGAAAATTCTAGTCTAGGGACTCTGAGTCCTTAAAGGATTTACAAATGGGTTTCAGATCATAAACCCACTGAAATTAGATGTAAAATCAGGTATATATTTGCACACATAAATTTTCTGGAGGAAAGTGAACAGAATTTCCATCAAATTCTCCAAGAAGTTTGGGCTCAAAAGCACATTAAGAACTACTGCAGTTGGGCCAGCAAGTAGTGTGGTGGCTGAGCTGCTGGGCTCCCACATGGTGGACCACGGTTCAAGTCCTAGACCTGGCAGCTTGCTTTCCCTCTATCTCTCCGGTGAGCACACATGCCCTATAGAAAATTAATAACTTTTAAAAATTAAATAAAAAAACCTGCAGTCAGATGCAAAGAGATATATATTTTTTTTCATAGAAAATGTTTCAATTGCCCAATAGCACTGACACAAGGAAGTGGTACATTTGGGGGAAATACATCAGACGCTAAATCCTGCATAGAAAGTTAGGTCAGAACTGCTCTTTGTAAAGCCATTGCCAAGAAGACACTTGAAGAGACTCTCTGGGCTCCTTCTCTGTCTCAGAATTGTTTGACACTTCAGATCTCCTTTGTAGTTTTAGAAAATCTTACTTTTGACACATTTGATACATGATGAAAGTGTATCAAGGTACACCTGCAGTTTTATATGATGGCTAGCCCATAGCCTTACAACAAAACAGCAGCTGATGATTTTTAAGTGGGCAAATATCCTCTGTCATCTTCATCAACTTTCAATGGAGTAAGGCCTATCAGTAGAAGACACAGTAGTTATATGCTTGCATTTACATTGAAAACTGTGCAGGAAAAATGCATTCACTTTCATGCTTTTGTATAGGCCATTCCCTCTTTCTTTCTTTCTTTTTTTTTTTTTTTTACATTTTCTTTTTTTTTAATTATTTATTTAACTTTATTCATTCATTCACCCATTTTTCTTTTGACCAGAGACAGACAGAGAGAGAGAGAGAGAGAAAGACAAAGAGAGAGAGAGAGAGAGAGAGAGAGAGAGAGAAAGGTGAGAAAGCAAGCCACCAGGTCCAGGATTGATCTGTGGTCAGCCATGTGGGAGCATCTAACACCTTAACCACCACGCCACTCTCTGGTCCCTAGGCTAGTCCCTCTTTCTAAAATGCCTTCTCACCTTTTTGCCCAGGAAACTTGGACACTACCTTTAAGTCCTGATAAAGATCTGTGGCTCTTTTGAGATGTCTCCCTTTCTCTTTTCTTAGCAGAATTGTTCTGTAATCTGTTCTAGCCCTCTGTACACATCACTATCACATCATTGTTAGTTATTTCATCCAGGAACCTCCAAAATGCTGAGGTCATAACTGATTTATTTTGTGTTTCCTGTCTCTAGCCACATAATTGGTGACTGGTGGGACCAGCAGTTAGCGTAATGGCTATGTCGCTGGACTCCCACGTAGTCAACCATGGTTTGCGTCCCGGACCCAGTGGCTTAAACTCACGCCGGGCACGTGTGCATGCATGCCCAAGATCCCGAGAGGAGAATGGAGGAGAAGGGATTGCGGCATGGCCATGCCCCCTAGGGGGAGGTTTCTCGCTTTCTCTCTGTCTGTCTCTCTCTGTCTGGCGAGTGCATGAGCCCTATAGCAAAAACCTCTAAAAAAAAAAATTGGTGATTGGTGTTTGTTGAATAAATAAAACACTGGATTGTATTTTCTTGTGATTTTTAAAAAGTTTATTTACTTATTTCGTGAGATAGGTAGGATTCCCTAACAGGGTCCTGTCATGTCATGATCTGCTCACCCTCCTTTCCACCAGCCAGGATCATAGGTCTGCCCAGTGTATTCAGATGGACCTGGGAACAGAACCGAGGGCCTTCCCAGATGACTTCAGTATCTTGCAGTGGTGCCCACCTGTGGATAACAGAACACAGCTAGGCCCATTAGCTTCCATTTGGGAAGGTCTTCCTTGTGCAGGTTGTGGAGAAAACCAGTTTGGTGTATATGCAATTAAATAACAACAGCAATTACATGTTAATGAATAAATGACATGCTTTTCGGTAACCTCCAGAAACAACCTTCCAATTCAGGGACTGAAGAAACAAGCAAATGAAGGTCCCATACAGGCAGGTAAAAAACAGGTTAAACAATGAAAGGTTCCCAGGTTGGGAGCAACAGGGGCTCAGAACAGAGGCTGGCACTCAGGTAAGCAAAGAGAGGTTTAATTTGGTTTAGACAGAAAAGACTTCCTATGGAAATAAAGAGGGGAAAATCCTGACTGGACTGACAGAAGGGGATGACTTTGTGGCATTTGACTCCAAAAGAATTCATTCAGACACAGGGCCTCCCTCAGTGACAACTGCCTACAAATGCAAATAGCTGGATTCTTGGTCCACTGCTCTGTTGCTCCAACATAGCTTTATTCTTGAATATTTCTCTAGGACTGCTGAAATCCTGAGTTGCAAGCCATAGGAATGATTTAGGGACATCCTTTTATTTGACGAGAGACTCTAAGATGCAACACCTGGAATCCAGACCAGAAAGACTCTTCTCACAGGGCCTACTCAGAAGCAGGCAGGCATGTCAAGGTGGTCTGGGTGGATGGCCTTATCCTGAAGACTCTGACCACAAGGTCCAAGACTTCAGGTGATGGTGTAACAGTAATGACCCAGAGCCTGGTTTCTTTGGGACACAAATCAAACAAGGCATTACAAAGAATTGTACATTAAAAGAATTAGGTAGTAAGTCACAAACAAGTTTGATAAACCCAGTCTTTCTTCTCTAATAACATAGTATTTTCTCTTTATAACATGTTAACAGTCAGAGCAATTTGCTAGAGAAAGCATAATTAAGCGTTTCGTTCTAACCTGCAACTCTGGGAAATGGGGAAACTTCAGGGAAGCACATACCATGTTTTCTTGTTCAAACTGCGTGCAGAGCGAACAACGAACGTCTTATCTACCTCTCGACTTTATCCCTGTCTTGTTTACCCATTCACAATGGCACTTCCTGCGACTAAAACTTTTTTACGGGTCAATGGAACATTCTGGTGACGAGGACACCTCTGTCTCTTTGAAAAAGTTTCTCCCTTGAACATACACAACCTAAAAGCTCTTTACTTAAATACATACAGGTGCTTTGTGTAGGAACAGGTCACGGATCCACGCAACTCTCCCTTGGATAGCTCATCAGGAGCCTGGAGCCTTGAGTCCCAGACCTGGAAAAAGGGTTCCATCCTCTAAACCTCGGCGTTCGCATCTGCACATCGGCTCGCTCAAAGGCAGTGACCAAGACGCAAGGCTACCGTGCCCAGAAAGCGCCGAACCACCCGCTTCGGGCGGACCTAGCGTCCCCATATCTCACAAGGACCCAGGCCAGGCCTCTCCAGCCAGAGGAAGAGGAAGCCCCCAAACCGCAGACTCCAGGCCCAGCGCGCCCCTGGGGGGCGACGTAGCGGCGCGCCCCTCCCTGACGTACCTCGCGAGCGCGCGCACGCACGCACGCAGGCGCGGGGGCGCACGGCGCGGGGGCGCGCAGGGCCG